TCCAGTGTTGTCTTCAGGTCATTTTTGCCAGGTGCCTCACCCAATAATTTTCTTGGTTGCCCAGCTGATAAACTTCATCAGAAGTATACATACACAGTATATTCATGTTTCTTAAGTGTAGTTCGATTTCAATTTTTAACATATGTTTACCAGAACACATTCAACATAAAATTCTTGAAAAATAAGTTCTTCAAACAAAAATAGTAAAAATGATCATTATTTAGGTTTTATCAAAATAATGGTTTAGCTGTTGAAAAAATAATACAATATAATTTTTAAAAATATCTCTTAACTAACAAATTTTAAAATTTCTAACAAATATATATAAATAATATAAATGTCATAATTTAAAATATCAATTTCTTCAAATGTGGAAACAATAAAAATATAAAAATTTAAAAACTTAACTTGACTGACTCAGCTATTATACTGTATTTACTCGCATATAAGACAAGGTTTTTATTCATTTTTCACTGCTTCAAAAACTTAAGTCATCCTATATGCACGAACAAAGGATTCTTTGCATTTTTGCAATAATTTTTGTGAACCTTGTATTTGCATTTTTTACTGGATGCTAACCCTTGGTGTTTAAAAACAAAAGTATTTTATCTGGGTCGTTTCAATTGTTCTTGTGTATTGTCAGGAGTAAAGATGAATAGCAATAGGAAAAGTAAAGCTTTTGAATTGAATTCCAAATTGAAATTACAAAAATCACATGGAAGCCCAATATAAGTTTTAATCCATTCCCACATGAAAACAGATGATTATTTGGAAATCAGAATTTGGAAACTCATAAGTGTAATCGACAGAATGGATTCGACTGTTAAGAATTGGCAGAAAAGATTCCAATTGTCCAGCTTCACACAAACAAAAATTATGTGGTAGTTTTTACAAGATTTTTCCTTAAAGTTTAAAATGCCAGTAATTTTTGTGGGACAATGTGTGCATTTACATGCATTTGATATTTTATTTGTGATTAAACAAAATAAAATTAGAATTGTATTCTTCTTCTGTCCGTGCTTTCTCCTAAGGTAGGTTGACAACCAGCAAATACCACTGTTCTCTTTTGTGTCTTTTATGAATAATTTCTTCTGTATCCATTCCCATCCATTCCTTGAAGTTGTCCATCCAACCCTGTCTTCTTCTTCCCCTTGTTCTTTTTCCATTAATTTTGCCTTCTAATGTGAGTTTGGGGATTTCATATTTCTCTCCCTCAGTATGTGTCCACAGTATGCTAGTTTTCTCTTCTTAATTATATTTATAATGAATTCTATTAATAAATCTAATTTTCTTTATTTTGATCTTTAAAGTCACACCTTGTCCTATATGCGAGATTGTCTTATATGTGAGTANACAGTATGCTAGTTTTCTCTTCTTAATTATATTTATAATGAATTCTATTAATAAATCTAATTTTCTTTATTTTGATCTTTAAAGTCACACCTTGTCCTATATGCGAGATTGTCTTATATGTGAGTAAATACAATAGTTTTAATTAAAATTACTGAATGAATATTGACAAAATTTGATATGATATTTTTTCCTTTTGTTTAAATAAAATTATTCATCTTTTTCTACTTCTTAGATTTAGAAACTTGATAAATATATATTTTTTTCTTTTTGTACTCCAAATAAAAAAAAATTGAAAAATTTTTATGAATTCTTATATTCTATACAAATTCACATATCAAGATAGTCAACACAAAACAAAATAAACTGAGAGAAAGAGAACTTTTCCCAAGTGTCTTTTTATTACTAGAACTCATTTAAAATAAATTTCTTAAAAAATTAATGTGAATAAAAACTATTCTTTTAAAGAGGTTAATAATGATTTTTTTCCCTTTTTTTTTCAATTAATATAATGAAAATAGTACAGTTTTTAAAACAAGTTAAACACAAAAATTTATAAACAATTTTAAAAATAATTTATAGATCAAACATTTTATTTTAGGAAGTTTATTTTTTCCCTAAATAATGGTAATATCAATCCAATATGGAACCAAAACAGACTATTTTATTCAGAAAATTCACACACAAAACTGATCAGAACAAAGTTATTTTGGAGCCATGCTCCATCTTCAGCATTCAACATTTACAAAAACTTGTTATTAAATGAAACATAGAACATTTTCTAACATTCTATTTTCTTTAAACATTTGAGCATCTTAATATTTATTAAATGTTACATTTATAATCAACTAGCTTACCTGTCGCGCATTGCTGCAATCTCAGAAGAAAGGAAATTCAAGGAAACTCGTTACGATAAAATTCAATTTACATTTTATCATTTTTATTGAAACTTATTATTATTATTCATTTTCATCGGGATAACATTTCAAAGTGTCGTTTCAATTCTATTTATTTATCGAAGTGTTTGTGGAAACACGATATTTTTTGTTTTTCCGTCCGGTGTGTACACGAATAAATCAGAAGGTTTCCGATGCATGAGCCAGCCACATACAGTTGTCCATGCGAGAAGCACGGATTCTCCAAATTTAGCCATACACTTGCAGCGATTGTCAGAAGCGTGATATTCTCCATTTTTATATATATTTTTTAATCCTTTATAATTTTAATTATTTAATTGCCCCTTCCTCTCTTCCTTGGCATGTTGTGAAATTTCTGATAGTTGGATAATAAACCATTTTATTGTAATTTGTCTTTTTAAATTATTTTGAGTCGATATTAAAATTTGCAAAAGAGGGGCTACCTAGATCGGTAAAATACACGAATTTCTTCCTACAACTTCGGTTGTTGTTCGGGGTACAGTTAAGGTTTTAACGAAGTTCGAGCGAATATATAATTAGAAAAGAAAAGTTGAAATAAAGTGATTAAACAAAAATTATTACGAATATCGTAAATAACAGTTTACAAATGCATATATAGAGATATTTTTTGAAGGGGGGAATGGTCTTCACAATTTGAAATCAATCGAACACACACTGCTCGAATGCTCGTGTAAACGCGGGCCATCTATCGTAGGATAAATGCCAGAAACCTTCGCAGGAGTGTATTAAAAAACTTCTCAAAGTTTCAGAGCAATTGGATAAACAATGTGGTAATGCATGAAGGACACACACACACACATTCATTTTTATATATATAGATATCAATATCTGAAGTAGAAGAAAAATAATTGAAAACTGGTGAATTTTTCTGCAAATTAAAAAAAAATCAACTTGTATTTTTCAAAGTTGCTTTCATTCTATTAATTTAATTAATAGAATGAAAATTGATTAACAAAGAAATTTGATATTAAATGCATATATAGTTGTCATTCATAAAAATTTAAATTTTGATCAACTAATTAATTAATTAATAATTTAGAAATATCTAGAGACAATTGGTTCATAACAGTACTTCAACTCATATATAAAATGTTCAAGTTAATACATTCTTAAATATTTCTAAGTTATAAATTAATAAATTAAAAATTGTAATTGTTATAGTTTATACAAACTGACAACTCTAGTACTAACATTAATTTTTTTGAGCTAATTTTATATTGCTAATTTAAACAGTAAAATTCAATAAACAGTTTAATGAAATTACAGGACTCTTTTTTCTACATAACGATCTCTATGTAAATATCCACACTACATTTTAGATTCATCCCTAATTTCTTTTATTACTAATTTTACTTTCTTTAATGAATATATAACAAATGAGCTATGGTAATATAAAACATTACAAAAATATTAATCTTGTTTACAGAAATCTAAACATTCTTTTACATATTTAATATTTCAAGCTCACTTAATCTTCAAAATAATACAAACAGGAAAGTGAGTGTAGAAAGATATGATATGAAAATGCTAAAATGATATGAAAGATGTTCTCAGTAAGTTATTAATAGTACAAGAAGGCAATAAAAATTGTAGTTATAGATACAAATAAAGTGAAATATAGAATACAAAAAAGTATAAAATCAGAAAAATAATGTAAATATCAAAACAGAGATGAAAATTTTAAATTGTGAAAAGAAATGAATAGGACCACAACACAGAATTAGATGAAAATTGAATAAATTTAAAAAACAGATGTAACAATCTCTATAGCAATGAATTTTAGACACGTACAAACATACCTAATTTCACTTTTATTTTACTTTTATTATATTTTTTAAGTAACTTTAATAAGTGAAATAATGCTTAGAAACTTTTAAGACTTAGTTTAAGTAACATTGATAANCTTTCAATTCAGACTATGATAAGATGCAAATATTATAATAGTACAGCCAGGGCCAGATTTAGGGGCGTAAACAGAGTACATTGCATCTCCCTTCTGAAGTTTTTCCCAAATAAATCAATAATTATAAATTTCTAAAAATATTTTTGATTTAATTTCTGATTAAGATCTAATACTGTACTGATTGAAGTTTCATACATTACTTTCAATTCAGACTATGATAAGATGCAAATATTATAATAGTACAGCCAAGGCCAGATTTAGGGGTGTAAATAGGGTACAGGGCACATGTACATTGCATTTCCCTTCTGAAATTTTTTATAAATATAAAGTTAAAAATTAAACCTTTTTTTATAAATAAAATAAAAAGAAAGGCAATCTTTGTTTTTAGGAATGGATCTCTTTTTAAAAATTTATCTTTATTTTATAAAATAATAATTATAAAATTGTATCTGAAGCAATGAAAATGGAATTGGATGTTGATAAATATAATAAGTTGAGTAAAGCATTCATAAAGATTTATTAATATTTTTAATTTTTGAAGTCTATAACTTTGCTTGCTATTATATGGTACTTTCACTAATCATATTGATAAAGTTACATAAGTATAAATTTTAAATAGATAATTAGTTTAAAAAGTGAATACATTTATGTATTTCTGTAACAATTATAACCTGGAAAGTAATTACATAGCTATTTGGTTTCAAAATTTAATTGATTATAATGTTTATAACAATTGTTAGTAATAATTATAGATTATAGGTATTTGCATTTAAAAACCCATAAATATATAGTATCATGCATTAACAAGATAAAAATGCCTGAATGGAATATTTAAATTACAAACATAAATTGCAATTATTATCTTTTTATGTATTTTCAGGCATTTGAATGTTTCTTATACATTTGGGCCATTCATCATCCTGCCAGTGGTTATATTCAAGCAATGAATGATCTTGTAACGCCATTTATTGTTGTCTTTTTACATGAAGTTGTTTCTCCAGGTAATAAATAAATATCTAATATATTAAGAACTAATTCAGGAGCATAGTTAAGTAAAATTAGATCTGTTTTTAAAAAATTTATCTTTATTTTATAAAATTTTTCTATAAATGGCTGGCACTCGTCTTCCGGCAGAAGCTTCCAGTTCTGACCCATCAGTTTACTAATTTCTGTATTTGGTAAGTGGGGCCATCGCTGACAGTAACTCCTCCGGTATATTCTGTTCCAAATCATGAAGGCATTCATTGGCCTTTTGATACAGTTTTCAGCTTTCTTCTGTTGCTTGTCTTTGGCCTGACTCCTCCTCTCCCATGTGGTTAGTGAAAAAAAACAGGTATGCTCATCAAGTGATAATATATAAGAAATAACTAGTAAAGTTAGAAAATATGAAATTCGAACATTTATACAAACATGAAATTCATTTTAAAATTTCTATACTATAAAATGTCGTGATAAATGGCATTAAATTATAAACAAGACTTTGTGTGATTTATGTAAAGAGACTTTTACAAATAAGAAAATATTACAAGCCCATTTATTCTGTCATATTAGAAATAAAACAACTATTAATTACAATTATGTGTGTGAAATATAATAATGCATTTATAAGGAAAGTGAGATGGATATACAAGTACTGTATACAACAATGTAAAGCAATTTTTTGTGCTAAATGAAAGCAAGAAGCTCTTTTATAACTTTTAAATGAAATATAACACTTTTGTTAAAAAATATACACTGACACTTTTTATTACTTACAAAACATAAATTGCAATTATTATCTTTTTATGTATTTTTAGGCATTTGAACGTGTCTTATACATTTGGGCCATTCATCATCCTGCCAGTTCTTATATTCAAGCAATGAATGATCTTGTAATGCCATTTATTGTTGTCTTTTTACATGAAGTTGTTTCTCCAGGTAATAAATAAATATTATCTAATATATTAAGAACTAATTCAGGAGCATAGTTAAGTGAAATTGGATCAGTTTATCTCTGATTCTGTTTAAATGGTCCACAGATTGATGACTGAGCATCACTGGTCTAGATCACTGGTAGATATCTGCATCAAAACTTCTTATTTATGTAAAGAAAAATATAACATTTTGCTAGAAAAAAATGTAAATTCTGTAGATTTACAGTATCAACATTTTCACTTTTCCTGTTAGGACTTTTTTAGTGTTTAAGTCTATAATTAGTTTTTTTGTTAATGTTACAAACAGCTAGCAAAGCTAACAGTTACAAACAGAATATTGTATATTCCTATAATGTATAAGCTCTATTACATTTGTGACTTATATAAAACAACTGCTTTGAAATTGTCAGAAAATAAAATTTAATCAGTTTTGTAAAGAAATTCATAATCAAGTAAATGTATCAATGATAAATATTATGATGAAACAATCATCCATTATTTATCAATTCGATATACTATACTATGTAACATAAAAATGTTACTCATGAAAAATGCAAACCTAAACTGCCAGATTGCCTGCAGGCTACATTGAGACAATTTAGCTAATTAATTATCCAAATTTGTTCTAAAAGTATAGGTAGGCTGTTATACAATCATCTTGTATTATGGTTAATGATTAAATTATATCAATCTTTACGTTGGTTAACTGACTTGATCTTAACGATTGATTTTAATGTATCGACTAAGCAAATCAATGTGAATCATACTGAATACTGAAAGAGTATAGAGTAATGTAGCCCTGTGCCAATAGTTATTCTGCCNTTAACATTATACAAAGTTTGAAAATATTCATTCTAATTTCAAATTTTGTCTGAGGATATTGTACTTGCAAAGTTTTGTGAGATTGATTATTGTTTTGTCAATTAAAGTTATTTAATGCTTACAGATAATAAAATAAAATAAATGCAATTCCTAAATACTATAAATTCATCATCATCATCAATAATGAAATGTTCTTCTTTTAATATATGCAGTGTGTTTCATGAAATCCACACAGTTTCCAGCTATCTCATGCTACATTAAGATTTTGCAGGTAAGTATTGGCATTCAATAAAATGAATAGACTCTTATATAATGGGTCCATATCTAGGCTATCAGAATCACCAAACTTAAACTCTCTTGATTTTTTTCTTGTATAGTCATCCGAAGTCCAAAACATACTCCAGTCATCCACAAAACCTTGTGAATCTTTGAAACAACATTGTGTAGGAATGTATCCTTAATAACACTAACACCATCTATCATCTTAACTAACTGAAGCCTTATTTTAGGATTTATTTATTTTTTTTATCAAACATTTTGAACATATGCTATAACTTTAATGTTGTAAAATCTAGTAATGACATTGTTTAATTTTTGCAAACTTCTTTATGGTTCCTATATTTGTACAGTATATTTGTTTGTTTATACCTGAGGCCAAACTATACCAGACATAATCTGATGGGGTCTACCTTTTACAGTATCCCTTAACCTTATCTTATTTAACAGTTTAGGATTAAAACTTCATCTTAAACAACTAAAACCCTCAAACAAAATTATTTCTGCTATTTAATCACAGAACCTCTTCAGCATCCAGTAAAACATGGAAGATGAAACATTTTTGGAATCTACCTGATTCCAGCTTCAGGTTGAAATATTAATAGTTCTTTTCTAATTGGAATGCATCAAATAGAATAATCGTGTAGCATTTGTATTTGAAAAGAACAGTAAGAGACATGCACTAATCCATCCATGCTATAATGATGTTTTGTACCATGCTCTCCATGCTTTAGATCAGGCACAGCCCATCACATTAAATTGTGTGGCCTGCTAAGCAATTTTATATATCTATTAAAACTTTTGTTTCTCATTATATGTATACCAAAAAAATTAAATAAATGAAAATTGCATGTGTCATTGTTATGCACAAGTGCAACTATGAACACCAGTTCTATATTTGGTATCTTGTTCAGATGGTGGCACCACCCTGGCAATCAACATCTCAACTAGTACCTTTATCTTCTAAAGTGTGGCCCACCGTAATGTTATGTGTCATCAAAGTGGCCCATGAAACAATTTGGGTTGGCCAGACCTGTTTTAGATAGTTGCATCTCATCCTAAACATTTATGGAATTGGAATTAAGGCTGGCTTTAAATATTTCAATGGACTCTAAGAGCCTGATGTAGTTCCAATTTGTAGAGGATCTGTTGAGCTGAGCCTGATTTAATTTTGCCTCTGTATTGTCTTTTGAGGCAAACCTAAATAGGTGGTGGTGATTTTTGGATGCTTTCTCCCTTACATACCCAGAACACATCTCAGCTGATCTGTAAGTTACTACTTCCTCCTTTCTCAACCCACCTAATAGAGAAATAGAAATTCTCCAATGCTTTGGGAAATGCATCATACATCCTCTTGCCCCAGCAGGTTCCCCTGCCAAATCTGAAAATGCCTTCTATGGGCTAACAATGTTTGAAATAGTTCCTGTTTGCAATTGTTTCCTGCAAGACAAACAAAACTAACAAACAACTCATACAAGAATCTTCTCTCTTTTGTTGAGTACTGATGCTTTCCTGTAAGACAAAAGAGGGCACTATGCAAATTTCATGACCCACACTGTATATTAAATTTGTTTATTTATTTGCATTATTCAGATTATTCAAAAATTAACTATATACAAATAATTATAGTAAATTTTGAGCATTAAAATGCTAAAAGCTATTACAAAATTTTATTAAAATTTTCAATTATTAACAAATACATTAAGAAACTATTTTTAACTTTACATTTCTTTAATTAGTAGACAATTAGATTTGATTCATGTCTGAAAAAAAACTGTCATTATTAGATAAATAATCATTCCAAAGTCTTTCTTTAATAAGTTTTTGTCTAATTCTCCCCAAAAACTTGTTGCATTATTTCTAATTGTTATTTTAAAATGTATAATAAATTTTAAGTAAAAATAGACTTTAGTATGTTTTAAGTATTTGCTCTTTTAAATTAAATCTAAAATTTTTCAAATGTTTGTTATCTGCTTTTTTTATAGTTTGCAATTTACATTCTCATCAGTTATATTTTTAACATTTTTGAGTTCTTATAAGCAATTCTTAGATATATTATTCTCATAGTAAATATCAAAAAATTTTATATAGCTGTCAAAAATCACACACTTAAAAAAAAAATAACAGTTTACAGTCCAAAAAATAAATAGACCTTTTTGATGATGATGATATGATAACTTTGTTTCTAAAAGTATAATTTTTATGTGAATTTTTTTGACAAAACTGAAGAAAACAAAACAAATGTATGAAAAAGCTAGATTATATTATTTTATAACAATCATAAAAATTGAAAACTAAGAAAGAAAATACAATTCTTTTAGAGCANTTTTAATGGTGGTATAAATTTTTTATTTTTAAAATTCAATTTAAAAAAAAGCATAAAATGATGCAATACTTTTATAATTTGTTTAGACAATAAATTCTTTAATTTATGAAGTAATTTATACAGTTGGTGAGGGATGAGCTACTTGTATCCAACCAAAATATCTGACACTTTGGGAGTAGTATGGTCTGGAAATTCAAAATATGCAGTCTGGAAAAGTCATGGTTTGGAAATTCAAAATTCCACAGTGTCCAATTCTGTGAGGTTTGTCAGGCTGGATAATTCCTGTGCCCAGTCGCTTGGGAACTGTATCATGTCCACCAATGCATCCAAGTCGGCCAGGTTGCTGTTCGCTGGTCCCTCAGCCAGACACGACACTCGTGGAATGCATGCACTGGCACCATTTCTGCTCTTGTTGAATGGATCGTCATACAGGCTGATGTTAGCACTCTCAGGTGAGGCTGGCTCGTCTGTCGATGGGGAGCAAGGGACTTTGACGGGCAGGTTAAGTTGACTAACAGAAAGCGGCATGTGCTTACTCTGTCTAATACTGTCTCTGAACTCCTTGTCGATGGTCAGTTTGAGTTTGAGTCGATTCTGATAGACAGTGTGGCTCACCGTGGTTGCACTTGTGCGCTGATGCTTGGGCTTGCTGGAACCACAATTGCCTCCGCTACTACTTTTGTGATTACCCAAACTGTGTTTGCTGGTGGACTGCTCAGGCTTGGACAGTTGTTTTGCTTTCCTCTTGGGCCTGTATTTGTAGTCTGGATATTGCAGCATATGTAATATATGCAGCCGTTTGGCCTCTTCTATGAAAGGTTGACGCTCGCCTTTCGATAGAAGCTTCCACGCGCAACTCAACAATTTACTGATTTGGGTATTCACCATGTTTGGCCATTGTTCATGGAAATTTTTTCGATGCATCTTATTCCAGAGCATATAGGCGTTCATTGGTCTTTTAATATGGTTTGTAACTTTCATTGATTGTCTTCTATCACTTGTTTTCGGCATGATTCCTCCTGACACTGAGTCATGATTGCCAGCCGAAGCTGCAGACACGTTACCACTGCCAGTCAAGTTGCTGTGCAGTACCATGTTAGCGCAAAAGTAACTGGCTGTTGATTGTTATTCAGTCCAGGTCAAGGTAACAAAGACACTGAAATGAAAAATTAGATATATTAACTTATTCTCAATAGCAATTCTTAGATATATTATTCTCATAGTAAATGTCAAGAAATTTTATGTAAATGCCAAAAATCACACACTTAAAAAAAATAACAGTTTACAGTCCAAAAACATCTATTTTTTGATGATGATGATGATGATAACTTTGTATCTAAAAGTATAATTTTTATGAGAATTTTTTTGACAAAACTGAAGAAAAAGAAATGTATTAAAAAGCTAGATTATATTATTTTAAAACAATCATAAGAATTGTAAACTAAGAAAGAAAAGACAATTTTTTTTAGAGCAATTACTTTTTAGCTATTGATAACACTCATATTTCTTTAACAAAATAATGATTGTATATAAGAGAGAGCTTTTTATAAACATAAAAACATATATAATATATATATATATGATATATAAAAGGGTTATAAGTAATTTACTTTATAAAATTTTTTAAAAATTATTATAAAATCAGTTTACTTGTTTCAAATTTGAAAAGTAAATCTTAGTTATTTTTCTTAAAGAATAAAGTCCCTTTTACAAAACAGTAGTGCATATTTTTGCATAAAAGAATCTGAAAGGAGATGATAAGACTAAGTTATCTATACAATTAGAAGTTACCAATACAACACAATATTGTGATTAAAATATAAAAAGGATAATAATAATGAATTAAAATGTATAAAGTATTTTAAAATATCTTTAGATACTAGAAAAACTAATTTAGATAGTTTTGTGACAAAATATTTTAGATACTAATAGTACAAGTTTTAAATGCTAAGAAAATATTTAAGATATATGATAGAACAATTCTGACCCAATCTAAATTCATCTATAACATTGCACAATTATTAATTATTTACAGCAATAAAGAGAAGAATTAAAAAGAAAAGAAAAAAAAACAAATGTTTCTGTAATGAAATAAATTATATCACTATCTTCAGGATTTCCACTAATTTCAACATTAGTAAACAATCTTTATGTGGTTTATTTATTTTAAAATAAATAGCAAATAAAAAGTAGAAAATTATTAAATTTAATGATATAAATATAAAACTAATGTCAGAATAACAAACAGTTTTAGACTTTTAATTATCAGATTTTAATGTAAAAATAAAATCCTTATTATAAAAATAGAATTTACCTGAAATAAATATTATTAAATAATTTATAGACTAGTTGAATTCAATTTATAAATTTATTTATTTTTAAACTTTCTTTACAAAAAGAAAAATATTTTTTTGATTTTCATATATTTGACACAGCCATTTTATTCAAAACTTTTTCATATATAAAAAATCACAAAATATACATTTAATTTATAAAGACAGATTTCATATACTAGTATTATACTGTATATGAAATCTATCAATAATAACTATTGTAACTGCTTTTTCCCCTTAATTTTTAAATCTCAGAAATGAAAATTAATACACAAAATAACATTTTGACCAAATTTTGTTAAATTTTCACAAGTAAAACTAAAAACTCCTGTTATAAATAAACTCCTTAGTATTAACTTAGATAATATACAGAAAATATTTTAAAACTATATAACTTATAAAACATACATATCTTATATTTGCAGAATGTATTAAGTCAAGATTTAATTTCTCTGTCAAGTGAGTGATTGTATGCAGTCTGATACTTCAATTCATTTTCTAACTGGGTCTTGTTCTCTTGAACAATACTGAGATGAGTTTTTAACAATTCAAAGTTCTCCATTAACCTGAAATTTATAAATTACATTCATGTTTTACTTAAAATGTTAAATAAATTTTTATTTCTTGTCAATATTTTTATAAGATATCATTTTGAATAAGCTTACGGCTTAATTTCATGAGGTAGAGCATCCTTTTGGAATTGAAGATGGAGTTCAATCTGTTCTTCATATAACAAAACTATTTTATTAAAGGCATCTAAGGCCTGTCATTTTAATTGAATCTCTTGAAGGGTTTTACTTAAATCTTCACTGAATTGATTATTTTGCTTGGTCACCTGGAGGTATTCTTTATTAATATCCAATAATTTTTAATAATATATATTTAACAGAATTCAATATTAAATGTTTAATAAAATTCTTTTTTTTACAATTTACCTTGTTAGATTTAATGAGATTTGCCACTATATTATTCATCAAGTTTTCTTCTGAGGCTGTTGACTTTGCTAACTTCAATACATATATTAATTAAGGCCTATAAATGATTGATGATATAAAGAATAAAATATTTGAATACAATCATTTATGTGTTATTAAAACAGTACAACAAGAGAAGACAATGGAAAATTCACTTACTAAAAAGTAATCAATTTCAACGAATCTGAAATGAAAAATTAAAATGTGTATTTAGCAATTAAGTATAACATTATATTAATAATAATTACATATTTTATTCGTTATATTGTACAATAATTAAACAAATAGCATTANGACAAAGGTGTCATCGTAGAGATCATTGATCCTGTTGGCCTCAGCTCTGTTTGGATAATAAGTGTTGGTAAACTCCTGAACCTCTCCCCATTCAACAAGAAAGTTTTTGTCAACTTTCACTCCTGATGATTTCTTGCTTTGTAGAAACTATCCTATCTACAGCACCGGGATGAAAATGACGTCACACTATCGGAACCTGTGACCGGTGCTCTGTGCGATTCTAGAGACCCCCCCAACACCCAATCCTAGAGAATAATATACACTCCGTCCGGGGAATTCTTTCAGTTGACCTGAAGAAGAGCGATTGGAACTCTCGAAAACGTTTGTCAGGATATTTTAACATATATGCACAGAGCACCGGTCACAGGTTCCGATAGTGTGATGTCGTTCTTGCTTTGTTTCAATTTAAATCACTTTTCTGTTTTTTTAGAAGCCATGATGCATTATAAATGACTTAACTTGTCAGATTATATGATACGAATAATTCTTTATTAATTAAGATCAATAAACACTTCTACGAGCTACTCTCACTCCGTTTGATTTTTACAACCTCTTTTTGTTCCACCACCTTGGCATCTACACAATTACATTTCGTTTATTTGAATTGTCAACATATATTACATTACATTTAATGTTTATTTAAATCATCAACATATATTACATTTCTACTTTAGATATACTAATAATACTAATATATCCTAAAAATAGCAGATTGTCATTGGCAACGGCAAAAGAGTGAAAACATCATTCGCACTTGTTCGAAGAAAGTCCATTGTTCGTCTCACGTTGTTCGCAGCAAGTCCGTTGCTCAAGTCACGTAACGGTCAAACAGAAAGTCCGTTATTCGCAGCGTCCGTTATACGAGGCACCACTGTAATTAAAACAATTTAGCAGTCTAAAAGTCAAACAGAACAAATTCATATCTAATGATAAATCCCACAGATATTTTGAAAATATTTGTATTAACTGTTTACAAATTTTTTTAATTATTTGAATTTATGTTGAACATAATTTTTGTATTCTTTCATTTTGTAGAGTATCAAATACATAGCTATTGTACAAATGCATGTTCAAATAAATATTAAATTAATCAATTATTCAATATCCATAGTAAAACTGAAGCCACAAATGAAATGTTAAGCAATAAAAACTAACTGAAATTCACAATTCTACTCACTTCCTCACAGATTTGTTTCTTACAAAATTACAAATTCTTTTTATTACTATATTGTATTTAAATTTGTTATTCTATTCTACTTTACTCATTTATTCTTAGTTTATTATTTGAATTTGCCAAGTAATAAACTGAATTAATTAATAAGAACTAAGAATAATAAATTAATGATGGAATTCTTGTTAAACTGTTAAAATATTTTTGAAATTTATAAAATCAAAAACTCACTTAAAGTTTAATGAAAATAGATAAAAGCATCAAGTATTAATGAATAATAAAAATATTAATCTGATTAAAATAAATAGGAGTATGGTATATAATTTTCTAGCAAACATGCAATATGTTTTGTTAAATTGAAATATTTCTCATATATTTACTAGCACTGACAAATATATTACAGAAAAAAGAAAGAAATTATCATTCAAATGATGACAAATATTAAGAAACAAAACAAAATGTAAAAATTAGTTAAAAATGTATTAAATAATAACCAATATATTAACAGAAATGTTAACATCACAAATAACTACTTCTTATATCCAATTATTAATAAAACTGCAAGAAAAAAGAAAAAATTTACAATTATTTTTAAACTGAAATAATTTCTCAAAACTTCCAGTCAAAATTATAAAATTTTAGGAATAAAAAATTTAATATTTCTACAAAGTTGACAACAATGTTTAATGGATGTTTTTAATCTATAAAATAAATACCAATTAAGCTTAATACTATAAAATTACAAATGAGCTGATCATTTTTTGATAATCTTTGGTAACATATCAAAAGACATATCAAAAAAAAAGTAAATGAACATATTAAAAGATCAGCTTATTTTCTGATTTTTTGAACAATAATTTCTGTATCAAAGTGTTAACTCCAGAACTTTGAATTTTTTTTTTTATGGAAGACTCTTACTAATCGAAAACGAAGATATAAATTTTGGAATGTTAAATATAGGAAAAAGAATTACCTGTCATCCACGTATTCTCTCTTTTATATTCAGAATGTGCTGTTTTTCTCTCTTCGCGATTTCCTTTATGCACGAGTTTTGGTTTTTCTTGCTCGGTCTGAATATTTTTTAATTGTTCCGATTCTCTTCCGTGATCCGAAATAAAAGCGTAAGCGTCCGAAACCATTTCGTCGTCGTAAGAAGGAGATATTTCGTTAGTTTCGCACGTATTCGTATTCCAGTTCGAGACGGAATTCGATCTGAACAGAGAATAATTTTGACTGGTACGATTAGGCTTAACCCCCAACGATGGCAAACCTGGTAAATTCCTGCTACTGTGCTGATCACGTTTCTTCAAATGTTTATCTGCTAAACTATGACTTTTATTATCCAAATCTTTCGACCTGTAATTGCAGTCATTGTTTTTGTCGTTAAAATGATAAGAATCCATTTTTAAACACTTCAAATACTTCGTCAAACAAACATCAACTATGATATAATGTTATAAAGATAGACGAAAGCTATTAGTCGAACAACCGATTTACTCGGCGATGATTGGTTCGAGAAAATAAATTCAACCAATAAAATTTATCTTTACGAAAAGATTTAACGCATCATATACTTGCTCACGTTTAAGCGCACGCGCTATTCTCGTCACACGATCGTGCTCGGGACGTGAGAAGTAAACAGGGAAATTAAGGAAACGTTATTTTTTTTACTTACTTTTTTCGGCTTAAAACTATTTAAATTTAATCGAATATTATAAATTAATTTGAAATAATTAAAACATTTTATAAATAAAATTAAATATATTTTATTAAAACTGATAAACGTCACACTCAGACACGCAGGGACGTTGAGTGCGGGGGTAGAGCTCTTTTTTTTCGAAAAAATGAAAAACATACAGTGTTTATTTATAAAAAGCAGTCTTAAAGTTCTTATGTCTTTTAGTAAAAATAACATTAATTTATAGTGATACGAACTATTACGGGATCCTAAGTTTTTTTCAAGCACAGGGAAAAATCCCTGACGCTCCTCTCTCGGCGGCGCGGATCACACTTATAAGTCACTATATTATAATTATTTTTATTAAAGAAATCTTGCTTCACCAATCACTAAATANAATTTTCATTAAGATAAAAGATATATAAACTGTACAAATTATTTTAAATTTATATCCATCAACAATTTTTACCAATTCATTTTTCTTTTTATTTGAATGAACTTTTTGCATTACATAACTTTAGTATATTTAAAAATTAATACTGTTCAATTCTAGATGATCTGTTAGCTAGTCTTCTAGAGTGAAGAAATAATAATTATTTTTATTAAAGAAATCTTGCTTCACCAATCACTAAATATAGTTAAGATTCCAATAGTGAAAGTATTAAACTTGCGATATTTTTTGTTTTGAAATTTTGTTACTACATACTAGCTTTTTTTTCTTTTCATTTTTGGCTCTTTCCGTCCTGCTAGCACAAAGAGAACTTTTTACCTTACTCATAGTGGGTTTGAGAAGACTCACAATAGGACCGCCAAATAATGATGATCAAGGCTCAAATATTCGGAATGGCTCGCTAGGAAAATTCTTGTGAGTCCAATCTTTACTATTTTCAGTAATATTGAACTTTCAGTATTACAGGGAAACGAGAAGCTTATTCGACATTATATAACGGGTAAATATGTTACATAGTTTTTTAGGAGCTTAAGTTTGATGTTAGAATAGGCAACGTAAGCTTCTCATTGCCATTACATAACGAATTACCAAAAGTAGTTAAAAATTAGGTTTCCCGGGTTTGCTTGCCTAGACTCGATTTCAAGTCTTCCAGAGCGATAGGTTGAATTCTTAACAGTCTCGGATAGCCGATCATTTCAAATACCTAAGATCTGCACATTTTGCGGAGAGACGGAGTATTGACTGAGATGAAAGAGTACAAACTGGTTGGAAGAGTTGGAGGAAAGCTAATGGAGTGCTTTGTCATATTATGTGATAAAAAAAAAATTGTAAATCTTGTTATGCACTATGGAGCAGAGTGCTGGATTGTTTGAAAGCGACAGAAACAGAGAATGCACGTAACCCCTAACTGAAATAGATATAAACGAAGTCGCGAGAAAAGATTAAACAAGAAATAGCTATATTAGAAAAAGTCTGGAAGTTGCCTCGATTCAGAAAATGCGGGAGAATTGATTGATTTGGTTTGGCCATATCAAGCGAAAATCAGAAAATGTCTTAAATAAGAAAATTGAAAACCTTAATGATTTAAAGCAAATGAACTAAAGGAACCAAAGAACATATGCTAAAAAACAATTATAAAAGATATTAAAAGAATGTGGATTAAAATGAGGAAAGAACTGGCGCTATATGGAAATGAGTGAAAAAGGAGGATGAAACAGGTTAACTATTAAACTTAAAAAAAAGGGAGAAAAGTATAGTAGAACGTCGTTTATCCGAAGGTCGGTTATCCGAAGGTATTCCAGTCGACAAATTTAAATTTTCGCCAGTGCTGTGGCGCTGTAATCTTTCGCTATGTCTTCGGCTACTCAAATATTTTACGTTTTTGATACTAATTAACTTCTGAAGTATAATTTTTTATTGTTTTTATATTTTTCAATATATTTATTTTGTTTGTACAAAATAAAAAAGTAATTTTTAACGATACAATAGTCTTCGTTAGGCTTAACATCGACGAAAATTCAAC